GACAATTGATTTTGCTAGTAAATGACTAATATTCTCTAAGATTGAGGTATTTGTATTAATTTTTTTCATGATGAATGTTTTATTTTTTAAATTATCCTGTGTCTGCTGCAGCATTCAGTGTATGCTATCTCTCTTTCCCGCTCCATCTCCCCTTTTCTCTTAAGATCTTTTTCCTCATGTTCAAGGAAAACCAACAGCGAGCTAAAAAAATGAACTAATTGAGCCTGAATTGCTATTGGCTAATGTCTGCTAATGCTGTCCAATTTTTTAAAGATTCTCCCCCAGAATATTTTGAGCCCCTTTACATTCCCCCACACAGTTTGTCAAGAACGAGGAGGAGGAGAAGGAAGGGGAGGAGGAGGGTGGAAAGGAGGAGGAATAAAAGGAAGAAGAAGGAGAAGAAGGAGGAGGCGGGGAGGGGGTGGGGGACAGGGAGAGGGAGAAGGAGAAGGAAGGAAGAGGGGGGAGGAGGAGGGGAAGGAGGAAGAGGAAGAAGAAGAAGGAGGAGGAGGACTGTAAGAGGAGATACAGCAGGCTGGTGCTCTGAAGGGCAGCTGTGACTGAGAACCTCTAGTAAGCTCAAAGTGCAGACACTAAGAAAAAGGTTTCTTTCTCTGTTGCTTTCAGAAGCTGTCTAATTGTTTCCCTTCCCTTATGAGCTCCAGGTTATAAAGAGAAAGTGTGTACTTGTCCCTTCCAAGCCCAACCTAAGTAATCTTATTTCCAAAGTGGACTTGTGTTGAAGATGAAGTTTTCAATATTGAGATCACACCTATGTGCCACTTTCTACTGTCTGGAAATTCATGCTGTATTATACACACTCAAATCTGGCCTCCTGGACTTCCTTCCTGACCCTCACCTGAAACATCAGTCCCAGACCACCTCCCCCTCCGCCAATTTGTACAGATAATGAGAATGCTTCATAATCTACGCTCATTTATGAAATCTACAAGATACATAATCTCCATTTCTGAATGAACCTTGGGCATAGACTGCCCAGCTGCCACCAAGCTCCCTTGTTAACACGGAGTGTGACTTAAACCACATTAATCTGCTTAATATCTTTTGTGAGTCCTTCCTTGCTTCCAAAGGGGCCAGGAATGTCTGCTAAGGCACTCAGGAATTGTCATGTATCCTTAAATTTTGTGAGGAAGGAGAGTCACAGTGACCCCCCAGGTTACAAATAAATGAATGAACATACAAACAAATCAAACCAATCTGACTTGCTTTCAGGAATTAATGGAATTTCCCTCTTATAAAACAAGCGCAATGATGCGTAGGGTGGAGTGGCATATTTGGATGTGAAGGCAGTCCAAGGAAGAATGAAGTTTGTGCTGTGTGCTAGCATAGCAAGAGATCAAAACCTATTCTTCTTTACTGCAGATAGGTGTGTGGACTCCATAAAATCATAGTTCCTCCATTTTTAAGTTAGACTCCCCTTCAAGATTTTAGCTACCCAACCTCATAGGGTGGGTCAGTTATTATTATTTTCAAACAATAATTGTAGAGGGGGTGGAGTGATTCAGATCTGAGAACCCCACAGTGGACTTCAAGATCAAGATGAAAAGAACACCAAGCTGTGTATTTGGCCCAGCTACCCAAGAGAGCAGTTTATCAGTGGTAACTCTGAGTTTAAGGCAGAATCAGTCTATGAAAAATAAGCTACCAGCTCTTTGAAACAGTAGCTTCACATGTACTTATTTCTCTCCCATGTCCAGACGGGGTCGTCTATTGAATGAGGCTCTTTTATTTTGCATGGGGCAGGGGATTTGTGACCATGGTCCCCTCTTTTATTCCTCTCTCTATGGAAACCCAGATCATGGGGAGAAATATGCAAGGCTGAATAAAGAGAAGCCACAGAAAGGAGAGCTTGAGAGCGGCATCTGTTACACTTGGGAAGTTAGACTGACAGGAGAGGGTGAAGGAAACCTCTCCAGCAGATTAGTTAGAGCAGTAAGAAGATTTTACTATATGCAGATATTTTCTTCAAAAAACAAAACATCTTACATACAAGAGAAGATTATATTACAGCTGCTACAGGAGGGGAATGCACCTGAATTAGGCAGTATCCATATTCATGGGAACTGTTTTTTAAAAAGGAAGAAAGGAAGGAAGGAAGGAAGGAAGGAAGGAAGGAAGGAAGGGAGAGAGGGAGGGAAGAAGGGAGGGGAGAGGGAGGAAAGGAAAGGAAAAAAAAAGAAAAGGAAAAGAAAGAAAGATGACTACATTGTTTTTGCTCCTGTCATAAGCTATTCTTAAATTAAAGGACTACAGAACAAAGGTGTGTAAAACCTGTCGCTGGATGCAGAAACCTCCTCGGGATAGCTGCCCCTCCCCAGCCTCTGGGCATGGTGTGAACCGCTTTTGAAAGCCTGGCAAAAGTGGTTGCCCAGAGTAGAGGCCAAGGGCTAGAGGAAGGTTGATTATAAGACTTCAGGCTAGTCAGAATTGGAAAAGGACCCCCTTTTTTTCCATGTAAAAGCATTAAAAATTGATAATCACCTTAACCCCCTGAATGGCCAGACTAAGATTAGTAACTCTTTCACCCAAAGGTAGCTGCAATGGTGGGGGTGGGGAACACACCATTATAACAACATGGCAATGATCATGATCTTTTTGCCGGTATGGGTCCTTTAATGTGTTTCCCTCTGACCTCTAAACTGACATGACATAAACTAGCAAATGGACCCTTGAACAGGCAGCCTAAGAGAGCACCTGAAAACTTTCATTTTTGTTTGATTTTAACAAGTACTTTTTTCTTCAGGAAGCAAAAGTTCAGGCACAAATGAGATTGTATTCTTACAAAAGAAGATACACAGTTAGTTGGCGGTAAAGAAAAGACGTTCTTCTATGGAAAGAGAAGAGCAGGGAAGGGGAAGGAAGGAGGAGGGCAGAGGAAGAGAGGGAAAAAAAAACAATTTCTAGGTTAAAAGCAGATAAACTTATAAAAGGATACCAGCAAACGAAACCACAATTTCAATGAAAAGGAGGAGGAGAAGACAAATTATCATCTCTGCCAATAACTACTAAGTGTTTATCCTTTTTTTTTTCTTTTTTAGAGAAAGAGAAAGAAAGAAATAGATCTTAAACAGACACCTGGTTTTCCTGCTTAATAGACACAATTTACATTTACCAATATAAACTCCTATCGCTCTCTACTCTCATAAGAAATTACTCATTTCACGGGAAATATATGCTCTTTATCTATATAAAGGAATGGCAGAATAAGCTCACCTTGTTTTTATTTTTTTCTCATTTTCTTGCACTATCTTCAGATCTGTCTTCTTAGAGAAACTAATGCCTTAATGACTTTCTGGTAGCTGCAAGCCTTCCTTTATTTCTGCTAAATATATGAAAATGTATGCAAATTTAAATCAAGCTAAACCTAGGAGCTCTTGCAATATATTTAATGGAATTTCAAACCAATAAGGGAACTCTGATTCTGTCTTCTGTAAGTGCAAATATAATTACACAGCTAGGTTACCTTCGAAATTATGCAACGGAAGGTCATTTCTTCTTCTTTTTTTTTTTTTAACTTCAGAAATCCAGCTGGGTATCCTGTGCTGCTTTTTCTCAGCTAGAGCAAATCTAAAATCTTTGCATTTTCACCTCACTCAGCTTACATGCAATGTCTTTGCACAGGGCTGTGAAGTACATGGACTTGCCCTTCCCTAACTTATAAAAGCTTAGGAGTACAAGCCTTTCTTGTTTCCTCTTAACCAAAATGTGAAAACATTCCTGTCCTCCCAAGCTGAAAGCAAATTCAAGCTGATGGGTGCGTGGTGGGGGGGTGCTTAATGCCGAACAGCCTGCCATCTCTCATCTCTCATCACTTTCTCTCTCTGAATTTTCAGGGCACACTAAATGATTTCTATTTACTTCAACTTGTCTGGGATGGGGAGGAGGAGGGCAGTGCATGGTAAAAAGAATTTTCCTAGGGTATAGCATCAGGCGCCCTAATCATGAATGCTCTCCTCTGTACCTACTGAAACTGGGTCCTCTAAGTGTCTGGGGTGAGTGTGAGGGAGGGCTGTCCATTTAAGCAAGCACTGCCTCTGAAAGAAGTTGTGGGACCGCTGGTGCGAGCTGACATGGAGCAGTAGTAAAAACCAAGTTATCCAATTGACCAACTGGATTGGAAGGCAAACTTCACAGTAACTGAAATTTGTCAGATTTTTGTCACATTCGATTTTACTTTTATCACATTAGATTTTCCCAGAATCTTGCAGTTGTTCATGCTTTAAATAAAAATTTTCAGAAGCTGGACATCTTTTTCTTAGATGCTTTCTCATCTTGGTATTGAGTTTCTCATAAATGAAAAAATGAAATAAAACAAGTCAAAATAGTTCTTATTGGAATCATGGACTTTAGTCTTACAGATTTAGGGTCCTATCCAAAAGGGGTTCCTTTGCTCAAACTTTGTAGCAAGATTTTGGTTTGCAGTGCCCTGCATACAACTAAGCCAGAACGCTAAACGAACTTGATAAAAATCCCAATCCACTAACATTTAGATGACATTTAAACTGGTTATATTGTTTTCTTAATATATTTTTTTCTTCTCTATTTCAGTTAATCTAAATAATACAAAAGGAATTCTAAAACCATGTTTGCTACTTCACCCCTTATCCACCCCCCCACCAAGCACGCACACACACACTTCCCTCTTACACTTCCCCTCCACTACAAACATCCATTAAGTCTGGGTGAGGTGGGGAGGAGGGAGGGGGGAAGGGTTAACCAAATGAACTGCCGTCACTCAGCCCGAAGCAGCCAATGGAGCCAAAAGATTGATTTACTTCCTGCTCTGGTCTCACTGAAACTCTAGTGCTTAGCTAGCCTAATTTGGAAAGTTAGACCGGCCTCCCGTGCCGCCATTGGCCGAGCCCGTGGCTGGCCAGGCCGAGACGTGTTGCAATTGGCCACAGCGCGTGCCGGTAACTCGCTCTCGCGGCTTTAGCTCCCCCGCACCGTAGATGTCAAAGGCTGAAGCTGCTCCCTTTGCCACATTATAACTAGTAGGGGATCCTCATCGACCATGGCCACAGCTGCCTCGAATCCCTACAGCATTCTCAGTTCTAGCTCCCTAGTCCATGCGGACTCTTCGGGCATGCAGCAGGGGAGTCCTTTCAGAAACCCTCAGAAACTTCTCCAAAGTGATTACTTGCAGGGAGTTCCTAGCAATGGGCATCCTCTCGGGCATCACTGGGTGACCAGTCTGGGCGATGGAGGCCCATGGTCTTCCACACTGGCCACCAACCCCCTGGACCAGCAGGACGTGAAGCCCGGGCGCGAAGACCTACAGCTGGGTGCGATCATCCATCACCGCTCACCGCATGTCGCCCACCACTCTCCGCACACTAACCATCCGAATGCCTGGGGGGCTAGCCCGGCTCCGAACCCGTCCATCACATCCAGCGGCCAACCCCTTAATGTGTACTCGCAGCCTGGCTTCACAGTGAGCGGCATGCTGGAGCACGGAGGGCTCACCCCACCTCCAGCCTCTGCCTCTGCACAGAGCCTACACCCCGTGCTCCGGGATCCCCCAGACCACAGCGACCTAGGCTCGCACCACTGCCAGGACCACTCGGACGAGGAGACACCAACCTCGGATGAGTTGGAACAGTTCGCCAAACAGTTCAAACAAAGAAGAATCAAGTTGGGCTTCACCCAGGCCGACGTGGGGTTGGCGCTGGGCACACTGTACGGCAACGTGTTCTCACAGACCACTATCTGCAGGTTCGAGGCCTTGCAGCTGAGCTTCAAGAACATGTGCAAGCTGAAGCCGCTGCTGAACAAGTGGCTGGAGGAGGCTGATTCGTCCACAGGGAGCCCGACCAGCATTGACAAAATCGCCGCTCAGGGCCGTAAGCGCAAGAAGCGAACCTCCATCGAGGTGAGTGTCAAGGGCGTCCTGGAAACTCATTTCCTCAAATGTCCCAAGCCTGCCGCGCAGGAGATTTCCTCGCTGGCAGACAGCCTCCAGTTGGAGAAAGAAGTGGTGCGTGTCTGGTTCTGTAATCGAAGACAGAAAGAGAAAAGAATGACTCCACCAGGGGATCAGCAGCCACATGAGGTTTACTCGCACACCGTGAAAACAGACACGTCCTGCCACGATCTCTGACTGCAGGAAGCAAGAAAGCGGCCCGCCACGCTGGGAGCAGCGCGGAATTCTCTTTCTCTCCCACTCTCTTCATTTCACTTCAGCTTTATTATTGCTATCTAGAGACATAGCAATATCTAAATATCTAGATAGGGCTCTTCTCTCGCTCTCTCTCCTCCTCCCTCCCCATATATTTTTTTCTCTTTCTTTCTTTCTTTCTTTCACCCCCCCCCAAATAGGGGATTCTAACTTATATTTAAAAAGGAAACACACTCACACGCCTTCAGGCTTCTCAAGGCTGATACACAGTTGCGTTAAGCAGTCCAGGCAGGGAACTCATTATAGTCTGCCGCCTCCCGCCAGGGAAATGTTTGCTCCAACCTTTTCTGCAGATCAATACGTACTGTTTACTTCGAATAAGATCTGTTGGGTTGCTCCTCTCTTTGAAGAACAAGCAGTGGGGTAACTTGGGGGTGGGGTAAGATGGGGGAGGGGGGAGGGAAGACAGATGTGTGCCTCTGAATAACCTTTCAGCGCCTTGGTTATAGCAGCTGTATTTCAGGTGAAATCTGTTTTACAATAGACTAGTTTTGCATTTTTTAAAACTTCTATAGCGTTTCTAAATGTCTGCGGTGTTACTACAAGCTGTACACAATATTTGTGAGATAATTTGTATCTAATCGGCCACTCCACGTTATTATTGCTACTATGATTATTCCTTCATTGAGCTGGCGGTTTTCTAATTGCTTAAAAAAGGGAAGGTCGTGGGAGGAGGAAGGGAAGATATGCCTACCCACCCACCCACCCCCTACACTAAATCTGTTTGGAGAAGAGAGGTACAATGGATAGAATTGTTCATGATGATAGTGGAGATATATATCTATATATCTGTAGATATATAGATATAATTTTTTCAGAGGGCAGAGTGCCTAGGGTAGGCAGAATAGGCAAGCCGATTGGGTTTGCAAAGTACTGTGAAGTAGGAGAGGAGATTTTGAAGCTTTCTGCCCTCCCTCCCTGGATCTGTGGAGTCCTGCCAGGCTTCTACAGAGCAGATCTGGGTGCCTGAAAAGGATTTGCCGGCGGCGTCGAACGAAAGAGGTCGGCCTGAGCAGCTAAGAGGGCTCTGCACCTACGGAGGTCCGGAATGTTTGCACTCAGAGCTCCCCACGGGTCCCGTGCCTCACCAGGACCGCCAGCGCGCCCCACCTCCTTCTTCCTAAGCGAAGGACTTTGCCTTCACATACCATTGCTTTCCCTGGAGACGACGACCCTGAGATGCTGGCGACAGACTGAGTCAGTGCCTCCCAGTTCCGTTCAGCTCCAGTTCACCGCCCGATCCCTGAGTGAGAAACCGTCTGGGAGGGGTGGCTAGTGGGGTGGTAGACAGGTGCTCTCTGCTTGGGGCAGAACGACAATGAAATGGTTGGCAAAGGTCACAAGGATTCTGCTCTAGCTTCGTTACCACCTCTTCTCCCGTATATACATATCGCTGTCTCTAAGTGGGCTCACGGGTCCACGCCTCTGACAAGCACAGCTGTTAGCCCACAGCGAAGATTAAGCTAGGTAGCGAGAGCCCCGGAGTCTGGGTTTCTGGGTGTTCTTGTTTTTTATTTTGATTTTTATCTCTGTTCCTGTGTGTATGCGTGTGTGTGTGAGCGCGAGTGCAAACGTGTGTGTGTAGATAGCTGTGTGTATCGTATTACTATTTACAAAAAAAATTACATAAAATCTCGCTAGGCTGTGTAGAGATCCAAAAAAATATGCAGTTGCTGTGGCTTTATTGCTGGCTCTCAAGTCTACACGCCAAGTCCACAGGAGCACCTCATTCTCAATGAGCACACATGTGCAGGGCAGGCCAAGCACCCAACACCCAGACGCAGCCCGCCAGACATGGCTGGGGGCTCCGCATGCCTGGGTCGGCTGCCTGACCCGACCTTCAGGTGCAGCTTCAGTAGACAAAGCTTCAAACTACCTAAGGACCAAAATGCTTAGGGGCCCTTGTGGAAGATACTCTAGTATGGGCTGCCAGGCTTCTGGTCCACCACACTGTGTCTCCCCCAGCTGCAGGTTGAAGGACATGTGTTAATTCAAATCCTGGACCCTTTTTCTTTTTTTATCAGAAGTCTGCATTCTGTTGGTAGTTGGATTTTAGTTCTGTAAATTTTTTGTTTGTTTTGTCTTTCCACACTGAGTTTGTGTTTTACAACTGTTAGCAGTTTTTTGTTTGTTTGTTTTGATTTTTCCCCTTTTGTAGTTAAGTACTATGGTTCAAACCTGAGTTAACCCAAATATTTCTGCCGACTTTATAATTGTACAGTTTTGTATATTAAACGTTTTTGAAGTTCTTAATTTAAAGAAAGATCATTTAGTTTATTCATTTAGTAACTGATGTATAATAAACACTATTTTCATTAAGAGTTGCTTTTTCAACTATTTTATTCAAATGCCTATTGCAGTTGCCAGCAATTATTTATTTTCAATACATTCTGCATTATGTTTTAAAGAAAACTCAAAGATGAGTTGGGTGTCAAAAAGAAAACAATTCGCTGTAATGTTTGATGTGAACAGTTTTAGTCAAGGGGTTTATATTGACACAATATTTTATTGTTGTAAAAGATTTAAAATAAAACATTTTTCCAAAAATATATTGTTTTTATTTTCTTTCCTCCTTTTTTTTTAATTGTGTGGTGTGTGAAGTGAAGCATTTAAATAGAGGCACATTTCTGGTAAGCAGCGCATCTGTTCTGCTTCAGGTTAGAAATCATTAGTCATTGTTTTGATTCTTGATTCTCTCCCTCTGACTTTTGGCCTTTCATACACTTGCACACACAGCAGGGCCTGTTATCGTGCACTTGCCCACGCTCATGCAAAACACACCCTAAGTGGTGGGAAATAGAGTGGGGAAACCTGGCAGGATCGGGTATTATTTCAGGAAGTGTAATATTATTAATGTTCTCTGAAAGGAGTGTGTTTCTAGTCCAGCAGACAGACCTGTCTCTAAAACTGCCCCTCCTGAAACTTAGGACCCAGACCTTCGCTAAGGTTTTCCTCTTGCTTCCCTGCAACCACTCCTCTTCTGGTTAGAGACCAGTACCCTTCTGGTAGATGAGCCCTCATTCACCTGATGAAGGATGGAAAGATGACTAAATGTAAAAAGTTCTGTCCTTCTTAAGGCTCCCCTGGCCCCAGAAACTCTGATAAACTGTTGTCCATTTAGTGTTGCCCAGTAAAGCTGAATTCTGTTCCTTCCTATATAACTTAGGGTGGAAGAAAAAATCATTAGAGACATTTGGAGGAGAAGTTTAATTTATTATTCTTCTTTCCACTCCTATTTACTTTTTACCTCTGTTGTTTTGTCACAAGACCCTCCATAAAAAAAGGGACAGTTACCTTTAGTGATAGCTGAGGAGTAATTTACTAAATCAGAAGCAGTTTGTTTTAAGGCTTTGTATGTACGCACAAGACTTATCCAACTTTTTGTTTTAGCAGACGCATATCAAGCAATAAACAAGACATTTAGCTATAACTTTCCTATAGTAAATCCCTTCTCAATTCATATTCTAAAATGTTTCTTGGTAAACAAAGCAAATCATTAAATCACTTTAATAGGTAAAGATTATCACATGTAATGTCCATCATCTTTTAGATTGCCTAATTATTTACAGCTGCACAGTGCACAATGCACATGTGAGTGTTGTGAATGAAATATGCTACATGTTCTTTGTATGCCCATAGGCATATCTCTCTTTATAAATAATACTGATTTTATAGAGATGTGTCTACAATCACAAAACATATAGTCTTAAATCTGTTGGCTCTCTTTCTGTTCATACCAGCCAACCTCTTTCTTTTCCAATATCCTATATGATTTTAATTGATCAAAAAGTTATAGCTGTTCTCATTAAAGTACACAGCAACCAACTAGCAGTGCATTCTAAAGTTTTTAATGAGGCCATAAAAGCAGATGCTTTAGGACATACTTACATAAATTTGTAGATATAGACATCTGTTACTATTCATCAATATTTTTACTATGTATTACTGATACATATATTTTACACATGTTTACAAGGCTTGTTTCTTTTATTGACTGTTTTCTCTTTCTTAAAATATAACTAAGGCCTAGTTGGCTTTTATGAGGTCCTCTTTATCAACCTTGTTATATCATTAACATAAAATTTTCATTAAAATTCAGGGGATGTTTGTGCCTTTGCCTAGGACTTTCTTTGTATTGAGGTTGCTGCCATCCCATTACCAACCAAAGTCTTTGTAGGAAAAGCAGCTTTGACCTCTGTTTCTCTTAGACCTTCATAGCAGTGGCTTTCTCTCCCGTAATAAGAATTTGTGGGTTCAATAATAATAATATTTTATGGGTGGTGGTAAAAGTTTCATCCCCATCACCTGATCAGAGCAATAGAAAATTAAGAGATTGTGAAGGGGGTGAGATTTTGGAAGCAGTTGGATGTGAAAAAAGCAAGTATGTAGATGCTACAGATATTTTAACAAAGTCAAATATGAGAATCAAGTATGTGTTTGTATGTATAAATGATTGTCTACATGGTTGTGGCTCTCTGTATGTATAACAAAAGCTAAATAAATTGCTAACCTCCAACATGTATCTTCCCAACAATAAAAGAAGAGAAATAATTATTCCTGGGAATTGGTTTCTTGTCTTTAAAAAGAAAAAGGCAGGGGAAACCATTGTCTACATTAGTACATGGGCTGTGTTTGTCTTCAATAAAATCAAACACTGTTCCCTTGGAAATATTTAGCATTCAGATATTTCCCTTGCTCCCAAGTCAGGCTGTTGTTGCTTTAATTGCCTGTAGGCTATAAGCAGAAATGTAAATTTCTGTTTTTACTTTAAAAATATCTTTTTTAGTAAGGAGGGAAGAAAAAAAAGAGGGAAATGGATTAGTGGAAAGTGATTAGAGGTTAAAACATAGTTTTTGCAAAACAATAATGTATGTTTTTCTACCTGTCATATTCTTTTAAAGACACATATGAAACTTTAGGATTATGGAAATTATTTCTATTAATTGGCATTGAAAAATCCCAAAATATGGCTCTTTCAAAAAGTTTTCAAATCAAGAGAAGTAATGATGCAAAACACTACCATGTAAATTGGTATCACTTGTACTAATGCATTCTCTAAAATAAAGGATAG